ATGAGACCACCATTTCTTGATGTATTTTGATACGCTGAATACGAATCTGAAGTCCGTTTAGCTCCATCACGTCAGGATTTTGACATAACCTCAAAAAACATAGCTCATTTTAAAGGACAGAAGAAATTTTTTAAATAATGGCAGATTTGCTTGAATCTTGTTACTCGGGGGTTTTTGGGATCGCTGATTACGAATTTAACGTCAGATTTATAAAATTCAAAATGGCAGATCCAATATGGCGGACGAATTTTTAAAAAGTATTTGGATTTTTACGAAAATTGGTATCTAGGGGTTTTGGGAGTCGCTGATTACAAATTTATCGTCAGATTATTCAAATTAAAAATGGCGGACGAGTTTTTAAAAAATAGTTGAATTTTTATGTAACTTGGCCGATACTGGGGTTCCGAGTCCCTGCATCGTAATACGTTTCCTACGTGTGTCTGCCATGACGGCGTCAAAGCCATTATCCAGGGACTTAGCCGGATAGCGGACAAACACCGTTGCCCACCGTCACCGCGTGGAGGTGCCCTGGATGCAGACACATGTAGAAACATAAAGATATTTGACCACCGTACTATATCTGCCATTTTACATTTGAATAATCTGACGTTAAATTCGTAATCAGCGACTCCAAAAAAACCCCATGATACCAATTTTTGTAAAAATCCAACTACTTTTTAAAAATTTGTCCGCCATATTGGATCCGCCATTTTGAATTTGAATAATCTGACGATAAATTTGTAATCAGCGACTCCCAAAACCCCGAGATACCAATTTTCGTAAAAATCCAACTACTTTTTAAAAATCGTCCGCCATATTGGATCCGCCATTTTGAATTTTATAAATCTGACGTTAAATTCGTAATCAGCGACCCCAAAAACACCCGAGTAACAAGATTCAAGCAAATCTGCCATTATTTAAAAAATTTCTCCTGTCATTTAAAATCAGCTATGTTTTTTGAGGTTATGTCAAAATCCTGACGTGATGGAGCTAAACGGACTTAAGATTCGTGTTCAGCGCATCAAAATACATCAAGAAATAGTGGTCTCATTCCCCGGCCCGGGTACTTTTTTTTGTGTGGCTGTGTAATCTAAGTTGTTTTAATTGTTGAAAACGAAGTTGTTTGATTTTTTATATTGAAAAGCAATGTTTGAGCTTTCATTTCATCCTATGTAGAGCATTTAATTCTCTCACGTTTTTGTTTCACAGCTGTGCAAAAAAGGCCAAAAACGCGTTTTTTTGCACTTTAAAACTCTTGTAGCTCGAAAACTAGAGGCAATTGGATATTTTCAAGGTCAGATTCGAATTCTACGGCAAAAATCCTATAAGAATCGGCTGTAACATTTTAGTCAACATGAAGTTGATAAAATTTTGTCGGCCTGTGTAATTTTTCGAAAATTTATCTGTCATATTGGAGCTTTAAAAATTTTGTTAAGCCAAGTTCAATTTTGTAATTAGTAACCCTGAAAATCCCTAGATACCAAATTTCATGAAAACCAATGAATTTAAAATAATCTGTCAGCCATATTTGATCCACCATTTTGAATTTTAAAATATGGAAATTACATTTCGCATAATTCATTAAAAAAATAAAACTAAAAGTCAAACTTAGTAAATCTCAATGTAAATTAAAAGTTATAAAGGTAAAAAGTAATTTTACGTATAATTGACACTTTTACTTTACCTAATACAGTTAAACAATCTATAAAAATGAGTTATGCAAGGTTTTTTCTATTATTTGATTAATACAGAGGACAATAAAATTAATTTCAAAAACGTACCTTAAAAAATTAGTTTTCTATTACCTGAAAGTTTAAAGGTTCTAGAGATGTAGCCATATTCTTTATTTATTTATAAAGTTCTTCATAAGTTAGAGTTCTTACGCAACGATAGAAAAGTATTTATTAATGGAAATCATTCATTCGTTTTGGGAATGGAAATTGAAAGGTTTTATAGATTTTTTACACCATTTATTACATGATCACTATTTATATTTATCTGTATTGTAAATACAGAGATAAAAAAGGTGTTTTTTTGTATTGAAATAGAATAATAAGAAGCAATTATACATACTAGTAATATAACTGTTATATCGAAAAAAACTACACTTTTATTACGCATACATATTTTTTAATAATGTATCAAATTAAAGACAAGGCATATTTTCTGTGCTTTTGAACATATGTCACATGCACTGACAATCCACTTCTGTATTTATACTATCAACATGTAGCATTGTAATTTCTTTGTGTTGCATAAATAATAATTTTGTATGTTATATAAAATTTAACATTGGATAAATCAAACATAGTTCTGAAATATTTTATAATATTTTCCTTCTTCGTTATATTCTTATATGTGTATTATTAATGGCAACTGCTTAGTGGAAGCTGATTATTTAAAATAAAATAAAAGGTGTAAAAATAATATTCAAAAAGTATATAATATAAGAACTAACGATTTAGAAAATTAAAAAATAAACTTTTGTTCTCAGATAACTATCTTAATTTTTTTTACATTTAACGTATAAATAATGTCTCAAATTTATTTATTGTACTAATATATTGAAAAAGAACCGGTAATATTTACACTTCATACATACTCATTTTTTTTATTAAAAACCACAAGCTTTGAGTTATTCTAATCGGTTACATTTTATCATTAATATGCATAATTTATAATGTGTGAATTTATACATACAGAATGACCTAATATAACCAATATATTTTTTGAAAAACTTTTAAAAGTATAACTTATGTGGAAAAAATTATTTTATATGTATATATACACATCATGTCAGTCATAGGCCAATTTCATTTCAATATGTTAAATGTTATTCTGAATCAAAATTGTAATTTTTTATTGCAAATAGGCAAAACTCTAGATATGCTTGATAATAAAAGACAATTCACATATTACAACTACATTTTGGGAATTTTTTTATCTGTGTATAATTCTTTAAAAATCTTAATCTTAAAAAATAATTTTAAAATATTTTTTATTTCTATACATTAAAATCATTTTATTCTTTACTAACCTATTTGTATTAGAATTAAGTGATTAAAATATTTCGGCTGATTCGAAATAATAATGTTCCGATAAATTATTTAACAAATTCAAAAAGCTAAGTTAAACTCCATAACATCGGTATTTGGAGGTTTTTGGGATTGGTAGTTATGAATTCGATGTTAGTTATATTAAATTAAAAATTGATGATTCAATATGGTGGAACACCTTTAAGAAATTTTTCGTATTTATCTGAAACTTGTTACTGTGTTGTTTTTTGGAGTCACTAATACTAATTTTCAGATTTCAAAATAGCTTAGAAAAAATATTTAAATGCGCATTTGTATTTTTAGAAACTGACTGATTTATAATAATCTAATTATTAAAACATGCAAGATATTTTGAATTTACGTTTATATGTTATGTTAAATATTATATTAGGTTGGAAATCAGATTGTAACAAAAACTAAATTCATTGAATTTATTCTAATTCTTATTTCTACTCAAAAATGTAAGTAACACGTTTTTAAATTAGAATTATAGGTCTAAAATGACATGACATGATTCTGCTATATACATACATAGACTATTTACAAAAATTATACTATTATTGAACAATATTAAGAGTTGAACCTATATTTAAAAATAAACATGGATATATAAATTGAAGAATTGCAAGATTTAAATTTTTTATTTCAATATATATAAAATCATAATTATCTATGTACTTGCAATACATTGAAAATGAAATGTCAGAAACGGAGTTGTAGAACTCCAATTTTTTATGACAAATTTAACTGTACATTTTTTTTATTATCCGACATTATTCACATGATTCACTAAAAAAATAACTGTGATAAAATGAATAAAAATTGCAAAAGACCTTTGTTTTCAAAAAACTTTTCTTAGTATACGTATGATGTACAAAATGTGTAAAAAAATATATTTAGTTAGTAACGCGTCAGAAAGTTTTTTTTTCCTCTGATGCTCACTAACCTGAAAACTTTAAGTTCCCCTCTATACGTTTACAAAACGCAAGGTTTCTTATATTTGTGAAAATTAAATAAACACTATGGAAGGCCGTATTATTTGCATCGCACAATGTTCTCCAAGCTCGCTTTCGAACATTGCGCTTTGCATTTAATCACGGCCTTCCCTCCCTTGATGTATAATATGCTATTCTAAAGAATGAGAACATATAAGGAAATAGAAATATTATTAAGGGGTTACACAAAAAAAAAACTTTCAAAAAAATTATGTCTAATTTTCGTGCTTTACGCTAGCCGAGCCTAACCCCTTAAAGTAACCTGACAAAAACGTCGCTTTCTAATTTTATAATGTTAGAGATTATTCATTTAAATAATGATAAATGTTAGATATATTTATATTTATTCAACTCATTTCAGAGCTCCCACGAGGGGAAGCAGTAGACCCAAAATGGTGCTGCCTCTTCATTTCATGCCTAGGAACTAGGCGCCACCATTGTTGATAGAGAAGAACTACCAAAAACTTTTCTCTGCATGGTATACAACATTGTAAAATAATTAATTGTTAATATTTTATTACGAATAAAAAAAATATTAAAAGTTTAGTTGTCAAAGTTTTTGGAGATAAAGACAAAGTAGAAGGGGAATAATTTTAAATCTTTATTTGCTGGAATTTAGAATTGGAAAATTAATTAAAATAAATAATCTAATGAAAATGAAAATTTTCAGATTACAAGATAGCAGAAATGGAGCAATGAATCGACTAATATCAAGTCTTTTATTATTATAAAGGTGTAAATGTTTTTTTCAAGTTCTTGTAAATAAACATATTTTTGATTAAATAATAGTTTACATGAAATACGCATGAAAAATGGTGTAATAGAAGAAAGAATGATCATTTCTGGCTAAAATCTTTGCTTATAAAATGATAAATAAAAATAATAATAATTTATAAAATAAAAACATTGCAACTTTGTTCTGCTGATCAAAAGCAATTAAAATAAAAACTTGATTAAAATCATTTATTCGATCAAAAAGGTCTTTAATACAATTTTCCACAATAATAAATGTTTTTGAAATGATGATTATTTATTCAAATTCCCATTTGAACACTTTATTACTCGCATAAATTTCATGAAATTTAGTAATGTTTTATGTAACAGATTAAAATTATTACTAATTTAAATTATAGCAACTTGTTTCAAAAAAATATTGTGGTAAAAGGTACCACTAGTATGAAATTTCATTTCTGTTTTTTATTGTGATTAAATTTGAAACCAAGTGCCTAATCGGTTTGCTAAGAATGTAAGTTATGAAGTAAATTTCTTTCAGTAGCAATAAATTTTACTATACCCATTTTCTATAATACCAGGTATATTCTATAATACAGGTGTAAAACCGAGTAAATATGTAATGTAACAAGATTTTTGTAACAATTTCTGAAAAATAACATTAGAGCTTCCACGAAGCAGGCCGAACGTCTACGTCTAGTTCTGTGCAACTAGACGATAGTATGATTATAAACTATGTAATAAATAGCATGATAATGTCATTTTAATTAATTTATAAGTGTTGGTTCTTTTCTAAATCTGTATATACCTTCAGGCATCGATAACTTGCTGGAATTGAGTAAGCGTTATCGATTATTCAGGACATTGCAAAAACTCCTAATTTTCCCTTCCTTTCCCGACATCAAACTTAGAGCTTCTTCCATTATGTTTCTTAATTTAGGTAAGTCTGGCATTCGATCACAAGACTCTATGTTTAACAGGTCCGTAAAATATCTCTCCCAGGCGTCCTTTTTGGCATATCTTAAATAAATCAGTTCATCATTATTTTAGTTAATAAAAATCTATGTAGAATTATCATTAAATTACTTAGTGGAGAAAATATTTTAAAAAATTACTCTTTGAATAATAAAGTTTTATTTTATAAAAACTATATAATTCATTTGATATTTGTGAATGTTTTTACACAATTTCATATATACATTTAAACATTTAAATGCTATTTTGTTGGTTTGATTAAATAGTTCCAAACATATAATTTTTTATAGGTTAAACCCCTCCATTGGTATTGACGCGTTTACGCGTCAACCATTCATTTCATATACCCTCTCGTGCCCCAGCAAAACCCACCGTACGGATTTGGTTTAAACTTCCCATTCAAGGGTTTTTGAGGTCGCTGTTTACGAATCCGACGTTAGTTTTTCAAAATACAAAATGGCGGATCTAATATGGCGGACAAAATTTTAAAAAATTACTTGAATTTGATTAAAAATTGGTACTCGGGGGTTTTCGGTGTCGCTGATTACGAGTATAATGTTAATTTTTCAAAATTCAAAATGACGGATCGAATATGGCGGACTTTTTTTAAAAAATCGTTTGGATTCGCTTAATAATTAGTATTCAGGGGTTTTTGGGGTCGCTGATTACGAATCAATGTTAGTTCTTCAAAATGCAAAATGGCGGATCTAATATGGCGGACAATATTTAGATTTGTAATCAGCGACATAAAAAATTTTCAGAAACCCATTTTTTAAGAAAATACAATGATTCTTCAAAAAATCGTCCGCCATATTGGATCTGCCATTTTGAATATTTAAAAATATGGCTTCAGATTCGTAATCATCGACACCAAAAAAACCCCAAGAAAACCCATTTTTTGGGAAAATACAATGATTTTTGAAAAAAACGTCCGCCATACTGTATCTAAAATTTAAATTTTGGAAAACTAATGTCGAATTTGTAATCAGCGACCCCGAAAACCTTCATGTAGAGAATTTCAAGCGAATCCAAACAATTTTTGAAAAAATGTCCGCTATATTGGATCAGCCATTTTGAATTTTGAAAAACTAACATCGAATTCGTCATTAGCGACCCCAAAAACCCCTGGATACCAATTTTTAGAAAAAAACATTTTCCTTGCATTTTGGGCACTTTTTATCGAATTCCTTTTGCCAGCGAAGGGGTTAAGTTAAGTTGCATGGAAAACAGGTTAATTTGACAGCTGTGGAAGTTTAATAAAAAAGAACAGAAATAATTTATATAGTAAAATTTTTATTCATTGAATAGCGTTTCCAAAAAAGTGCAACATTTAATGTTACAAAATCACAACATGAAATGATTTTCAGTTGTTTGACTCTAGTAAAAAGATGGGTGGTTCATGACCCAATTATATATTGTTCATGCAGAATTGAGCGTCAGAATTCTACAACTCGTTGGACGCACGAACGCATGCTCTGATGGTAGTCGGGTAGCAGTAGGAGAGCCATTGCCGCTCACTGCTACCCGACTACCTATAGAGCGTGCGTCCGAGCGTCGAACGAGTTATGGAATTGGGACTCTCAATTGGGCTATTTAGAAGTCTCAATTATAAGACAGAAACGAATCCACTCGTGAACTGCTTTCAGAATTGTCATATCGAAAATTGATTAGCTTAATTAGATCGATAAAGACAAAGAGAAACCAGCCAATCTAATGATGCATAGAAATTGTGAGTTAGGAGCGTGATAAAAGCTTTATGTTAAACAAATTGAACCTAACCACAATAATTCTGGGAAATATCAATAATTGGCCATTAAAATTCAAGGTTTAAAAAAAAATTCACGCCCAATTCACGGTTTTTTCAAGGTTTGACAAAATTCATTTCCAATTCAAGGTTTCAAGGTCCGGTGGATCTATTAAATATATATGAGGTATTCCATGCCAAATCGGAGACCATTTGGCTTTTGCACCTCAGATCTTTTTGAAAATTTTTTTCCTTTTAGTACTCATGAAGACTAGCTTTCATGATTTTTTTCAAATTTTTTCATCAAGCCCTTTAGGAGATATCAATTTTTGAAAAATTACGTCACTTTTTTTTGAAATGCTTGTAATTTCGCTAAAAATTGACCAAATTGGATCAATCTTATATCAAAATTTTTGTTTTTAAACGTACTTTCCAAAAAAAATATTGAAAGGTATTTTCGAAAAAAATTTCTATTAGATTTTTGAGATTTAAGACTAAAAATTCATTTTTGAACCTGTGTGTATCGATCGATTTTTTTCAAAATTTTTTTACAAAAACTGCTCTAAATTTGACGAATTTTGAGCCTAGTCCGATAATGGGAAAACGATGGGAACTATTTTTTTCGAATTTTCAAATTTTACGTTTTTAATTATTCACGTTAAAAAGTATTTAAAATTATTCTTAGAACTATTTTACTATATATATATATATATATATATAATTAATAATGTGTAATTATTTGATGCCTAGAGATTAATTATTTTAGATTGATTAAAGGAAAAAGATATAAACAAAAAAAGTATTAAACATGCATAAACATTTTCAAAATAATACCAGATAACTCGATAATTAATAAATATGAATGAAATCTTTAATCACAAATTAAGAATTAAAAAATAAATTTGCAGACTAGGAAGATAAAAATCTGAAAAAAACGATAGATTCCTATTTTAAAACCGAAATTATTTTCAAAATGGCGGAGTAATAGCGTGCGCAGAAGAATACGAAAACGCGACTTGCGCACTGTTACTCCTGATTAATATTCACCATGGGAACAAGTGCGAAAATATCGCAATCAAATTTAACCTAAAAACATATTTTATTAGTCTTTATAGCGTGTCATGTAAAAAAACAATTCTACGTTCTTATGCCATGTCAAATTTAGGAGCATTTAATTTCTGCTGCAACCCTTTTAAACTACAGAATCATAGAGTAAAGAATAGTCTCGATGAAAAAACTTCATTGAGCATGTTTAATACTTTTTTTGTTTATATCTTTTTCCTTTAATCAATCTAAAATAATTAATCTCTAGGCATCAAATAATTACACATTATTAATTATATATATATATATATATATATATAGTAAAATAGTTCTAAGAATAATTTTAAATACTTTTTAACGTGAATAATTAAAAACGTAAAATTTGAAAATTCGAAAAAAATAGTTCCCATCGTTTTCCCATTATCGGACTAGGCTCAAAATTCGTCAAATTTAGAGCAGTTTTTGTAAAAAAATTTTGAAAAAAATCGATCGATACACACAGGTTCAAAAATGAATTTTTAGTCTTAAATCTCAAAAATCTAATAGAAATTTTTTTCGAAAATACCTTTCAATATTTTTTTTGGAAAGTACGTTTAAAAACAAAAATTTTGATATAAGATTGATCCAATTTGGTCAATTTTTAGCGAAATTACAAGCATTTCAAAAAAAAGTGACGTAATTTTTCAAAAATTGATATCTCCTAAAGGGCTTGATGAAAAAATTTGAAAAAAATCATGAAAGCTAGTCTTCATGAGTACTAAAAGGAAAAAAATTTTCAAAAAGATCTGAGGTGCAAAAGCCAAATGGTCTCCGATTTGGCATGGAATACCTCATATATCTAATCTATTAAATAGATTTCATGCGAATCAAATAAATTTTTAAAAATTCGTCCGCCATTCTGAATTTCTCTAAACTGTCATCAAATTCGTAATCGGGTTTTAAGTGAAACGATGCTCTTTGATTAGGAACAAAATGTTTTTTTGTAATGGACAAAAAAAAGTAAAATGTCTATATTTTGAAAAACGGTTAACGTCGTTGCATTCAACGTACTCGAATTAGGTTTATCTGCAATGTGCCAATTTTGTTCAAAAAGAAAAAGTTCTCGATTTGAGCATAGCACGGTACCCTGGAACCAATCTCAACCCTCATCATTCTCCCTTTCAAAAATCCCTGTTGCAACTTGTTAGGGGTACCTCACTGAATATTTTTCAACAAGAAAAATCAAAATCCGTCGGGCACTTTTTTTTAATTTCAATTTTTGTGATTTTAGCGCCAAATTAAAAAAAAACTGGTTTTTAAAGTAAAATTCAACTTCACATGGTCAAATTTTGTTCCAGAAATTATACAAAATCATAATTCCGGTAGAAATTTTTCTGTAGAATCGAAATCTGACATTGGCTTTCGAATTAAAAGCAGAGGAATCCCAGAAAATCCGGAAAACTGTAAATATTCTAAAAACAATCTCACCGTAGCGTCGTTTTTTCCAAATTGTCTGTTAAATTTTATAAAAATAAGAGCAATTTCAAAATTTATCGAAATTTCCCAATAAGTAACAGTTACATTTTCAAATTTACAAAACAAAATATTATAGAATGAACATTTTTTTGGCAGTGATTAAAATTTTGAATTTAAAAGTTAACAAAATCTAGGGTATGTTTACGACGTTTCTACTGATTTTAAATTTTCTGATTCAAATTTGCTTTCTATTATTAAATATGTAAATATATAAACAATTTTTAATTCGTTTCTAGTCTGTTTTTTTCCCAAGAAATTTGCGCCTGCGCCAATTAATCTTGGCTTTTTCACAAAGAACAATTTGTATATTTCGAAAACCAACGCAGCAGTTTTGTGGAATTTACCACTGTTGTTTGTAGATGGCGTAAGGAATTCTGTGTTTAATACAGAAAAAAAATTTCGACACAGAAAACTTGAAAAAAAACGACAGTGAGATTGCTTTTAGAATATTTACAGTTTTCCGGATTTTTTGGGATTCCTCTGCTTTAAATTCGAAAGCCAATGTCAGATTTCGATTCTACAGAAAAATTTTTACCGGAATTATAATTTTGTATAATTTCTTGAACAAAATTTGACCATGTGAAGTTGAATTTTACTTTAAATAATTATAAAAACCAGTTTTTTTTAATTTGGCGCTAAAATCACAAAAATTGAAATTAAAAAAAAGTGCCCGACGGATTTTGATTTTTCTTGTTGAAAAATATTCAGTGAGGTACCCCGAACAAGTTGCAACAGGGATTTTTGAAAGGGAGAATGTTGAGGGTTGAGATTGGTTCCAGGGTACCATGATAGTGTAATTTTAAAGCAAATTCAGTACAAGAATAATTCTGCAAGTTTTTAAAAAATTTTTCCAAAATCATTTTAGGCCTTAAATCTTCCTTGCAATTTTCAGATATTATTTAACACTCTACATAAGAAATAAATTATTTATTCTTATTTAAAGAAGAATGTGATTTACCTGGGAATTTTCGAGTTTATGAACCAGCGACCTCCTGCATTTGAAACACGCATGTAACTACCAAAAAGTAGGCAATGACTAGAAGCAGCTAGACAATACAGATCAGTCTGATAAGTCCATGGTTTTCCTGTTTGCATTTCAATACAAGTGAATTCTTCGGTTTTTATGACTTGCATGAATTGTGTATTCTCTGGGAAGAGACTCATGTCAATACTACATCCAAAGTCAATTAACTGAATTGTCGGTCTTGCATCTTCTGTTGGCCTAAAAAGAAAAAATAGTATAATGAGAAAGCAATGTAACATACAAATATGTATTACAAAATAACTAACTCATTCGAACATGAAAAATATAGACACACTTACAAATGCATGAGAAGAAAATTGTCCGGCTTTATATCTCCATGTATAATTTGACATTTATGTAAATATTCGATAATATGTAACATTTCAATAGTAAAAAATATAGCTAGGGCTTCATGTACTGGCTTTCCAGTAGCTATTTTGACCTGATTAGTTACTGACAATAGAGTTCCATATTTCGAGTATTCAGAAACTAAAACACTACTATTATCAGCAACATAGGCTGTTTGAATATCCATAAAACCACGCAACTGAAAATTAAAATCACATCAAGTAAAAATCACTCAAGAATAAATTATAGTTAAATGTAAATAATTTAATTAAAAAGCGAACCATATAAGGGTTTGTAAGGCGAGCCTTAATTTCTCGAGCAATATAAAACTCCCAAACCCAAGCAGGTTTTTGAGTTTTAAGGGCTACGGTTTGTCTTTTTTGTAAATCTACGGCTTTAAAAACTTTCCCATATGTTCCTTTTCCAAGGCACTTATCCAAGTCATATGCTTGATTTCCTAAAAATGCACAATATTTTAAAAGTAAATTAATTGTTTCAACTTATTGTAATGTTTATATAATTAAAATTTTTAATATATTTACCAAGCGTAATCATGGTGGAAGGCACAAATTTATTTAAATTGCAGTTTAGTCTTACGTATCCTTCCGCATGTTGAGATTGTGGAAACTTAATTTTTCTTAACAGACCAGCGATTAAATTTTTATCAAATGGATTTATATTACCCTCTGGTAATTCAAAAATTTCTTCTTCCACTTCTTCCATTGGTTCTTGCTCTTCATATTCCATTGTATTGACTTTTTCATCATTTATTTCGTTGCTAAAATGTTCATTATTCAAATTAAAATTTATTGATTTTCTAAGATCGCAATTGATTTGAATATCCGATGTTATTTGGTCGACGTTCCGTTGTACAGTTCGTGGACTTTGAGCATGAACCGCTTGTATTTTAGCTCTCATTTTTTGATCATATGTTTGATTCGCTGCTAGTAATGTATCATTGGATAATAAACCTAAGAGAAAATCAATAATTAAATTTACTTTTTTTAATGGGGATAGATTGTAATTGTCAATAAATCGGATACCGAAAGCTCTGAACTGGGGAATGTAGAGCAAATATATTTTAAATTTAAAGTAGACTGATAGTTATATAAAAACTAGATAGCATTAATTAGTAAGATAAAAATTTGGAATGGAATAATTTTTAAGATTAAGAATAAACCGTATTTTTTATATCATATGTCCATCATCGTTATTCGCTTTTTTTATTGTAAAATATCAATTCGACGTAGTTTTTTCATGAAATGATAAGTCGTTACTAACTGCTCTTTCAACTTGTGCAAATATATAACTTTTTATATTCGCTGCTTGTTAAATAACTGCAAAATATACTTCTTGTAGTTTAAAATAATTAAATTACAAACCTGGACTAGACTTTTCTTTAATGGTTCCAAGGTCTTCTCGTGTTGACGTAAAACCTAATGTTGTAGTTCGAGTATGCATGCTGCTTCCCGAACTGCTGGAAATATATTCTTTCGTTGATTCCATGATAATACTTAGCTTATCATCGCCATCTGCAACTTGAACCTCTGGTATCCTACGTAGACAATTTTATTTCTTTAATTATATGGCTCATATTAAACTGAATATACACGGAAAATAATGAAATGTCTGCAAATGCTAACAAATGTTTGCTAACCAAAATTAGTTAGCTTATTTGAAAAGTTTAGGAAGAAAATAAAAAAGAATAATAATTTTATAATTTAACGTAGTGTTAACTGTTAACCCATCGACTTTATAGAGGAGCTGTACAATTTAGAATCATGTGCCAAAGCTGAAATTATTTTCAAGAGTTAAAAATATTGAGAAGCAATTTAAGAAAACCTAATACATCCGTTTTTTTAAATTTTAAACATGATTTTTATGAAGAATGTACCGTATTATGTAGGGAAAAGGGTCCCAAGTTTTCACAAAAACGCCATCTTGTTAAAAATTAAAAACAAAAGTTGTGCTAAACACATCAATCACAACATAATATTGTGCCACAGTAAAAAAAAAATTTTTTCAAAAATAATTTTAAAACAACTTTATGAAAAATTAAATATTTTAAAATAAATATTTTTAAAAATGAAAAGTTGTGCTGACTTGTGCTAACCGAGAACAGTAACAAACTCTTACTAAACTTTCCCCTAAAATTCATATTTTCTATGGAAAATCACGTTTTTCAAATTTTTTTTAAACAAAAGTTTTCAAAAACGAGGATTTTGAAAAATAAAAGTTGTGCTGACTTGTCCTAACCGAGAACAGTAAAAAAGTTTCAATAAACTTTTCCCTAAACTTCATATTTTCCATAAAAAATCATGTTTTTTCAAATTTTTTTAAACAAAAATTTTGAATTTTTGAAATTGAAAAGTTGTGCTGACTTGTTCTAACCGAACAGAGTAAGACTTTTCCCTAAAGTTCATTTTTTCCATTGTCCTGAAAAGGACAGATTGTACCTAACTGCAGACGGTTAATTCATATTATTTTAGGTTTCGAACTTAAAGTATTTTCTACGTATGACATTTTTTTCGGTGTTTGTCCTGAAAAGGACAGATTGTATTGACCGGCAGACGGTTGATGTATATTATTTTAGGTTTAAAACTAAAAGTATTTCCAACGATTGGTAATTTTGGCGGTGATTGTCCTGAAAAGGACAGATTGTTTATAACGGCTGGCGGTTGGTAACATGGCGTTGAGAGGTTGTATGGTTTCGCGACAGCTTGACTGGTAACAGAGTCAGTTAAGGTAACTGACTTGTTGCTCCGTTGAAGTTTGGGGGCGACCAGGCCCGGTCTACTCCATTGAATAGAAATGGCAATGATCAGCGCCTCTACCACCAACATAGCAACTAAATTTTACCCAGCCTGTATATCTATATCTTTGGTATATATAGATATACAGGCTGGGTAAAATTTAGTTGTTATGTTGGTGGTAGAGGCGCTGTTCATTGCCATTTTTATTCAATGGAGTTGACCGGGCCTGGGGGCGACTGAGAGGGAGTCAGGAAAATTGCAGTCTTTATGCGCCTCTGCTGTGTCTCATCCTCCGCTTCCCCTTCCCACATGGCCAATCAGCATGAGAGATACCCCCACCAGCACCGCGCCTGCGCGGTACGGTGAAGGAGTCAAGAGCGAGATTCAGTCAAGTGGTGCAGCGGTACTTCTAATTGAATGTTTATAAAAATCAAAATTTTTCCTTCACACTTTACAGGCTTTGGACTGGCATCAAGTTAAAGTATTTTAACTTGATGGCGTGTTTATAACATTTGATAGTTTAAACACTATCTTGATATTAAGTTTAAGTATATTTATAAAACTTAAATATTTTTTATAAATATCATTATTGTAAAATATTTAATTTTTTAAATTATTTGAACATTCATGATGCTTTAACTTTTTTTGTAAAATAGTATTTCTTAATAAATTGTATCAACAAATTTATTATTCAAACTTCTTCGAAAGAAGTTATTACACAAATTTTTAAGAAAATTGCATTTTTGCTAATAGTTTTTATGTTTTTAGCCAATTAGTATTAAAAATACATAAAGACAAAAACATTTAAGTGTTTTTCCATCAATTTGTAGAATTTCTTTATACATTTTAAAGCATTGTTCTTTTTAAGATACAATTCTTAATTCCAATTATTTCCTTGGAATTTTTTTTGAATTTTTACAAATTCTGTTTAACGTAGATGAAAAAATGCGGATCTACGATTTCTTTACTGTCTATTCTTTGCGGTGATTTTGAAGATAACAAATCGTCATATTTCCACCATCTCCTATCAACGTAAACATAAGCTACACAATGTCAAGGTACACTTAAGTCATACAGTCCTTATAAGCAACAAATCCTGCTATACCATAATTTATTCCTTCTGTTGTAATTTTTATGGGTATATCAGACCCCCGCTTTTGACTCCTCAAAAGTATCTCTCATGCTGATTGGCCATGTGGGAAGGGGAAGCGGAGGATGAGACACAGCAGAGGCGCATAAAGACTGCAATTTTCCTGACTCCCTCTCAGTCGCCCCCAAACTTCAACGGAGCAACAAGTCAGTTACCTTAACTGACTCTGTTACCAGTCAAGCTGTCGCGAAACCATACAACCTCTCAACGCCATGTTACCAACCGCCAGCCGTTATAAACAATCTGTCCTTTTCAGGACAATCACCGCCAAAATTACCAATCGTTGGAAATACTTTTAGTTTTAAACCTAAAATAATATACATCAACCGTCTGCCGGTCAATACAATCTGTCCTTTTCAGGACAAACACCGAAAAAAATGTCATACGTAGAAAATACTTTAAGTTCGAAACCTAAAATAATATGAATTAACCGTCTGCAGTTAGGTACAATCTGTCCTTTTCAGGACAATGGAAAAAATGAACTTTAGGGAAAAGTCTTACTCTGTTCGGTTAGAACAAGTCAGCACAACTTTTCAATTTCAAAAATTCAAAATTTTTGTTTAAAAAAATTTGAAAAAACCTGATTTTTTATGGAAAATATGAAGTTTAGGGAAAAGTTTATTGAAACTTTTTTACTGTTCTCGGTTAGGACAAGTCAGCACAACTTTTATTTTTCAAAATATTTATTTTAAAATATTTAATTTTTCATAAAGTTGTTTTAAAATTATTTTTGAAAAAATTTTCTTTTACTGTGGTACAATATTCTGTTGTGATTGATGTGTTTAGCACAACTTTTGTTTTTAATTTTTAACAAGATGGCGTTTTTGTGAAAAAAAAAATTTTTTTTTAAATTTTTTCGGCAAAGTTGAGCACAAACCTAGCACAATTCAGCACAACTTTTATTTTTTTGAAAATATAAAATGGCGTTGCCAACTTCTTGGACGTGATTATATCCGCTATTTTGAATTTCAAAAATCTGACATCGAATTCTTGTTCAGGAACCCCAAAAAACACCTGAGTAACCACTTTCAAACGAATCAATACAATCAATTTTTAAAAAACTCGTCCGCCATTTTGAATTTTGTTATTTTGACTTTAAATTCGGAACCAATAATACCAAAAAACTGAAGAACCATTCCCCAGAAAATTGAATAAACGATTTCTCAGAGACAAATAGAGAATTTTTTAATTTTCAAAATGAATTTTAAATTATTGATCTTTTTGAAAAAGAATTATCTCTTGATGTTACATGACCTTAAATTCTGATTCAACACGTCGAAAACCTTCGTGGAAGTATTCTTGATTTTTTCGTTAAAAATAAAGCTTATTAAACTTACGTTGGAGGATGACCACCATCTCCAGGCAATTGATGACGTTCTTTTACTCTGTAGGAGTCCTTAAAGTGATTAATCGGTGTTGAGCTAGTGAGATGTGTATTAAATGCTTCTGTAATGCATGTTTCATTATCTACTGTTAGTGGTGCAGTACCAAGTGTTTCATCCTCGTAAATATTTTCTTCTTGTTTAATCATATTTTCTTCAAGTGGACTATTATATTCAACACATAATGCATTCTCCTTGTTCTCAGCACTTTCAAGAAATTTCAAATCTCGTCTATTCATACCGGGAGACTTTATATACGGCAGTTCAGTGGGCATTTTATATGATTTGTTAGTCTCTGACTCAGGATCCGTATACGACGTGAAATGTAGCTGTTTTTGAGGTTCAATGGGTGGTAATGGAGACTGCATAGCCGGAGAATATTGTTGGTAACTCATATTAGCCACTACATTACCGTACATGTGATGCTGTTGATGTGAATTATGATCCATTTGCTGCATATGTTGGGATGTGTCATGTAATGTTTGCATATGAGATGTATGATGTTGCATATGAATATGATGAGAAGGAAGCATTGGAGCTTGATTGTGTTGAGGCTGAACGTGTATATGTTGTTCCATATGCTGTTGATGTGGGGACTGCATGTGAGATGTATGATGAATATGTGACTGGTGTATCGATGTCTGCAAATGGGGTGAGTGATGCTGTATATGTGACTGAAGATGCGACTGAATTCCTTGTTGATGTGTTCCCATATGCTGTAACAACAAGTGTCATAATAGTAATTAGTTTACAAATTTTTTCCAGACTGCATTCATTAATAATAAAAAGAAAATTAAAAAGTTGAAGAAAACATAAAATAAATATATGTCATTTTTTAAAGTCCCGACGTTTCGATGGTGTGATTTACTATCCTCTTCAGGCTAATTAATTTAAAAACACAAAAATTGATAAATACACATTAAACAACAAATGTGACGTGCTCTGAAGAAAGGGACCTTAGAAGCAAACGGTTTATAGGTTACGTTTACAACAGTTTTTCCTTGATTATAAGTTTTTTTTCGTTTCTGTAACATCGAAATCAGTTTTTATTTATTATTTTAGATATAATCCTATCCTCTTTGGAAATGTTTTAAAATAAATTAGTAACGACGCCACTGAAACTTCGTGTCGAAACTTTAAAAAATGACAAATTTGTTTTAGGTTTTCTTACCTTCCCATTGAAAGAATTTATTTCCTTACTAATTACACATTTCGAAGGGAATTTTACTTTCTATCTTAATAAAATTGAAATTAGAATTTGCAATTACTCACTTGTACTTGATAATGATATGGATTATGTACGGCATGTCCTCCGAAAGACTGGTGCTCTTGACTTGCAAAAGGACTGTGATAAATTTGATTATTTTCCTGATCATTGTACGTTTGTATTGGTACATTATATCCCGGATGGTGCTTACTAGTCGACATAGCGTGTTGGGTCATTGAGCTATCCATATGAATATTAAATGATAGTTTTTCCCTTGTGGCAGTTATTCTATGATCCATAGGTCTACTGATCATTGGACTGTTATTGCTAGTGTTTGGTGATTGCCATAGTTCTTGAACAGCGGACATTGCTTCCTTTGTATTCACGGTCAAACTTTGTCCCAATAAGTGTTCATCAGTTGCAGTACTAGAAGATTGATGTTGACTTAAAAAACTGGAAGACTGTAACTTCTGTTGCCTTCTCAATTCCGCTTCCATTCTTTGTGCTTCAATTCTTTCTGCTTCTATTCTTTCAGCTTCTATTCTTTGAACTTCCATTCTCTCAGCTTCTATTCTTTGAACTTCCATTCTCTCAGCTTCTATTCTTTCAGCTTCTATTCTTTCAGCTTCTATTCTTTGAACTTCCATTCTCTCAGCTTCTATTCTCTCAGCTTCTATTCTTTGAACTTCCATTCTCTCAGCTTCTAGTCTCTCAGCTTCTAGTCTTTTATATTCATGATTTTCAGCTTCATATATCTGTTGCTCTAATCTTTCAACCTCTAGTCTCTTGAATTGGAGCTGTTCTGATTCATATCTCAATCGCGATAATTCTTTCCTTTGTTGATCATGGTTGAGATGTTCACTATGATGTCCAATTATCTCTAGTTGTTCCATCTTCTCTCCTTGATTTGTAAGCTGATGTTTTTCTCTTCCATAAAGCTGACAATGCAATTCTTGCTGAACTGGTAGATCGCATCTGTTTATTCCTTGTTGCCCACGTTGACTTTGTGCCATTTGATGATGTTGTTTAAATGTTTCCGCGCATCTGTTAGAGTATTGTGTAGAAGAATTTTCCAAGCTGATATCTTTTTTGAAACTCGAACTTCTATATAATAAAAAATTAAATTTTATAAAAACCTTGTAGTCATTTGATTTTGAATATTTTGAAAATCTCTAAACAAACATTTACAAATGTATACAAAATTTAATATTATTTTTATTTCTATTTTCAACAATTTATTTAGACAATAGTTTGTCGTTTATTAAAAATATGTTATTTACAATAGGTTTGAAAATTTTTTTTTTTACCGTTATCGACAAAAAACAACAATTTGGTTAGATTATGGGAAATATATTCTATAACGCTGGAGTGGGGATAAATCAACGAAAGCAGGGGGTTAAATCTATGATACATTTTAAAAGCACAATAATTTGTCAAATTATGGTGTTAAAAAATTATTTTTATAGTTTGTAAGGTATAATAATAATTAACGATAACCTAAAATTTAAAAGTTCTAGAGATCTGCCCACACAGAAAAACTTTGTATACCACTTTTTCTTAAACTTACTATGTATAAATAAATAATATTAATGACTCTTTATTTTTGGAAAGAAAATCAAAAATCAAGATTTTGTGGAATATAATACTTATTCGAAATTCCGGGGAATATAAGTCTTATTCAATACACGGAGAATATAATTCTTATTCAAGGTTCCGTATAATATAAGACTTATTCAAAGATTGTACAAAATTGAATTAACTTTTAACATTTTTTGGTATAAAGTTATCTAAAATTTGAAAAAGATATTTCTTGTGGTTTCACATGGAGAGAAATAGATGGTACGGGGTACTATCTAGATAGTACCACGTACTATATATTTTGATCTTATATATACTAACAGCTATCTAGATTTTATTAGTTACAATCCAGATTGTACGGAGTAACATCTTGATTGTAGTGGGTAACATAACCATATTTTTTGTAACATCTTGATTGTAGTGGGTAACATAACCATATTTTTTGTAACATCTTTGATAGTACTGAGTAGCATAATGATGGTACCGGGTACCAACTACTTTTAACCATTTTAAGGTCATAAGATCTTACCATCTATTTCTCTCCGCGCAGTAACCATTATAATTAAGAGAAATAGTTTGTGCATCATGGATTTTGCAAAATTAATCTGACAAAAATAGTTCTGCAAAATTCATTTTGCATAGTTTATGTATAATGTATTTTTACATTCTCATCATAAATAAGAAAGTATTCATTTTGGTCGATTTTGACCTTTTTCTAAATCCAGTGAATCTCCACATTTCGAGACCTCCTGATGCCAAAAAATAAGGTTTTGAAAACCTGTCCGTCTGTCTGTCGTATTAAAAACGTAAAAATTTATAAGTGGTGTTGCATGATTTTCTGTATGTGTTTTTTTACTCCTAAAGATCAGAAAAGATTTGATCTAGTAAATTGACCAGACGCGGTTTTTTTTATTTTAGTGTCTAAATCAGTGGGATTACTTAGACATTCTTATTTTTTATTTGCCTGGAATGAATCAGTCATTTAGCTTGTTGCCTGGGAATTTAAAAATAAATGCAAAGAGGTGTGCCTTAGGCAATTTCCTAAACCCCTAGACAACAAACTAAATGACTGAATCATTTCAGGTAAATTGAAAAATAAGAATATCACACGTATCGTTGATACAGTTGCCCGCGTTTAGCTTAATGCCTAGGCTTTAAGGTAAATGTCGGATTTATCTATTTGCCTATGACAAAATTAAGTTAAGTTTATAAAAAGCATTAATCTCACATAAATAAATTCTTTACGAATGACGTAATTATATTTTGTTTGAAGCAGACTGAAAAAATATAGTCGAGAAATTCAGCTACCGTTGATTTGTTGACTGGAAAGGAGTTAAAGTAACTACTGCCTAATTTAGTTAAAGTCTTTGTGAGTATGTTTTTAATTTAACTATTTTAAATGGAATTAATAAAAATTATTTCATTTTACCAACTGCATTCTTAGTTCTTATAACTAATTCCTGAAAATAATTGATACAATTTTTAAATTTTATTGAATGTCTTCTGAATTATGCAGGGTAGTTAAAAAGTAGTCAAATGTATTAGCTGTTTTGCGTCCAAGAGATAAACGGAGCGCGTAGCGTGAAGAGATAATGCGCCTGGATGACGCTATATGCAATGCAAAGGTGAATCGAGAAGAGCGAAACAAAAAAAGAGAGCGTATCCATGAGAAGCGGCTTCGGCGCGCAGTTATAGAAGCGCAGAAACGAAGAAAAAGCTGTGGCAGTCCGGAAGAGACTCAAAGCGAAACTTTGCAATATTGGTAACCAATATTTTCGCGATGAAAAGAGCTTAACCACTCTACAATTAAGGCTCTTTCACAGTGGATCGTAAATATCAATATCTTTGATTCTAGACTGTCGGACTTAATTTTACTCTTTCTATCAAACTTCCAGGTGTGGAATTCCACACCTGGAATTTTCCCATCTTAAGATGGTTAAAAGTAGATTCTATCCGGTACCACCATTATAATACTCGGTACCATCAAAGATGTTACAAATAATATGATTATGTTACCTACTATCGTCAAGATGTTACTCCTTACGATCTGGATAGTAACTGATAGAATCTAGATAGCTGTCCTTATATGTAAGATCAAATATGGTACCTGGTATTATCTAGATAGTACCCCGTACCATCTATTTCTCTCCGTGACTGGAAGACCTTTTGCACCGCGTCAGAATTGCGTGTGTTCGATGGTTCGATTCGATTTACGGTGAAACCCAAGTATATCAGATTTCAAGGGACCGGAAATAATTCGATGTAAATGGGAATCCGAATTATGCGGGTCCGATATACGTGGGTTTCACTGTATTTCGATTCGAGTCAGCTTAGCTTAAATATCAAAAAATTCGTCATTCGAACAAAAAATAAAAATTCGAACAGATCGGCTCGAATTATTTTGCACATCTCTACACGGAGAGAAAAATCAAGGCTTTATAGTATGAAAGACTATTCTGCTACTTTTGTATGAACTTTTCTTACTAATGGAGCAAATATTTGAGAATTTTTAGTATAATATTTGTCCGTACTAAAGTAGACCTTTTCATGCTGGTCATTCTGTCCTCTTCCAACTCATGTGTCATTATAAGAAATAGAATAACAAAAAAGATTGAATTCCTTCATCGCTTTAAAATAAATATTTTAATGATTAATGAAACAAAAATGACAAGCAAAGATAAATTGACATTTAAAAATTACATAGGTATGTTTAAGAAAAGAGAAAAAATAGAACAGGAGGAGTAGCAATTTTAATTAAAAATATTTCCTATAAGGAAATTAAAATATGTAATAAAATAAATATAGAATATGTATATCTGTGTTAAACTTGTTAGTGGAGTACATATTATAGCTACATATAATAAATCAACAAATAAATTTTTAACCAAAGAAATAGAGAAATTAGTAAACGTAGGTAATAAAGTTTTATTATATAGAGATTTAAATGCCAGGCATTCTCTGTGGAGTTGTAATACGACAAATAAGAGAGGTAATGTAATTTTTAACTATGTACAAATAGTATTTTTCGATACAAGTAGCCAAACGAGCGTTTTGCAAATTGTGAGTGTAAAAATGTGGCGAGAACTTAATACGGCGAAGTCGAGTCTTGAGTTTGAGCAATGTACATACGCTCGTGAAGCTACGTGTATCGAAATATAGTTTTCTTTATAAATGCAGGCATAACCTCATTTGAAAACCACTTACAGCTATTCAAAATTTTTGACTCCCTCACGCGCATGGACGATGATCAAAGTGTTTTGCACACTGTTAAACGGTGCGCAAAATTAGCAAAGAACCCAGCAAATGAAAACTGATTCAGTTGAATTGAATTCATCTGAATTAGTTATTTTACTGAGTATTTAAATAGTGCAGAAAATACTTTGCTCATCGTCCGTGTGTAATGGAGGGAATTGGTTATTTTGGATATAGCTGTAAATTCTTTGCAAACGAGTATTGCATGCATGAATAAAAAAAAAAACTGGAGACATTCTCATCCGTGCTTCGCGCGGGGCTCCTGGCTTTGGGCCTTTGCGTGTGTGGCTTATTGCGAAACTAACAATTTCACTTTATATTGTCCATACACTTTTTGTTAAATTATTTTTTTGTTTTACTATGAGTAAACATTGACAAGCAGATGCATGAGTAGTTTTATAAATTTTTATTTTATATACCTAATATAGGGTTGACAAGGAAAAAAATGCTTTGTCAGGGTGTCCAGCAAGAAATACAAAAAGAATTCAGTGACTTTTTCCTAACCTTCTTCCAACTTTGCTTTAATAAATATTTAATATTAAAAAAATGAAATCTATCAAATATTAAAGTATTTTTAAGATAATAAAAAACATTTTATTTATTAGTATTATAAACTTTTACTTGCACCGAAAATTTTTTTGAAAAAATCATAAAAATGTTCATTTTTGGAAAAATTTAAAAAAATTCCCTGACTTTTAATTAAATTCCCTAACCTTCAATGACTTCCCTGACCGCTGGACACCTTGTTTCTTTAACAATTTATTTAAATGTTAATCCATTTCAAATTTCATCTTTCTTATTTTCAAGACATTTTTGGCTAATAAAGTTTACGTTTTTGGATGAATTTTTTTTGAGATTCTACGTATCTCTTACCATTTTTGATATTTCGAAAAAATTTAATTTTTCAAAATTTTTAAATTTTGATCTCACTGAGAGACCTTTTGCACCGTAGCAGACTTTCGACAGGCGGCTGCGGAGCATTCAAGCGGTCAGCTATGAAACTATGCTTTTGGTATGCAGTTGAACAATTTTTGGAGTGCAGCTGTCCAAGAAGTTAACGGCCGCAAGCCAAAGGTAGAGGGGCGTTAGCTGATAATTTACGCGGGTCAGAGTACAAACGTTTCAGAAAAGGTAACGGACCTAGCAGAGAATAATGAAAGTGCTGGAAGATTTGCGCTTCAATAGTTCGGAAACTAACATATTATGTGTTTTATTTTCAAAAACTTAATGTTTTAAAGTGTGTCCATGTATATTAATATATGTGTAGAAATTCT